AAATTCAGTTAGATGCAAAGCCATGACCCCTGCCACACCTGGCCTCTGTCACCCTGAGAAGAGGAAACAGGTCTTCAGGGTAGGAGGACTATTGTGAACATCCCAGAGAAGGAGTGTGGAGTCCTGGCTAAGCAGCAAGGGTACCCAGAGCAGATCAGTGGACCCTGGGCCAGAGCCATTTAGGCCTCAGCACAGAGGATTGTGGGGTACTCTCAAATGTTCTTAAGTACTCAGTGGTCCCAGGCTACTTGCCTAGTGAGCACAAGACCTTGGGTTCGTTCCATCCCTAGCCCTGCAGATAATAGTTATTATCAGGAGACAGTAACTTCCAGATGTCACCTGACACAGGATATAAAGTAAAAGGGGGATTTTCCTTTTCCAATCCTACCCCTTGTCGAATGAAACATTGTGAAAACTTGGGGGTTCTTCCAGAACTTCCTCTAAGCCTTGAGTATGTGTATGTGTGTCTTTTCACACATGCGCAAATCAGTCTTACCATAACAGGAGTACTTGTTTGCCGTGGGCAGCACAGAGCCCAGAGCCTGGGTCATCTCAATCCCTCACCAACCCTGTGGGGTAACTGGTGAGATTAACCACACTGTCCAGATGAGAAAAGCAAGGCCCCATGATGCCAGTGGAGATGGTTTTCTCCCGTCAAGAGGTGATAATTTTTACATTTTTCTCTTTACTTTGACAGTGAGGCAGGAGCATGTTTCCAAACTATACTGAACTCTGGTGCTGCCTGGTGTCCTTGGAGTGACGAGGCTGTTGTTTGTTTAGAACCCTTGATGGACACCAGTTATTACTCGTTTTCTGTGGAGATCATTGGGCCTCTGGTTTGCAGAGATGCCTCTGGCTTTAGAGTGGGCCCAAGGGGACACAATGGCTGTATGTTTGAAGATGGCAGGGTCCAGGCTTGAGGAACAGGGCTAGGTTTGAACAGGCTATATTGGAGGAAAGTTCTGGAGTTTCCTCAGGGCTCCATGCTGCAGCAGCTAGACAGGGCTCCTACAGCAAGTGCTCTGCAAGTATTTGGTGACAGGCCGAGCTGCACAAGACGTGGGGGGCAGGCTTATGGAGGTGCGGGGTTAGGCAGGTCCTGGTCTGTTGGTGCTGGAGGGGGTGTGGAAGCCCTCACTGTCTTGGGATTAATCAGGAGCCTGTGGTCAGGCCACCTTCCTCTTGGGACCTCAGGCCTTCCAGTTTACATCCTTCACTGCTTCCCCTCAGCCTTCAAGGACCTATCTCTGCTTCATAGCTCTCAAGTGGCGGAGGGGGGGGGTCCCTCAAATGGTGACTCATAGTGACTGGGCATATGTCACACCCCTACTTCAGGGAGCCTGAGGTCTGGGTCTGAGTTCCAAGAGAAACCCTCCAAAGGGAGCCTCAATGCCACCCTGCATGTCCCCCAAAAGAACTGCTGAAGGCCTTGTTTGTGTACTCCTCAGCTAGTATATATACAGAGAGATATGTCTTCCCACTGGACCACTCAAGGAGCCCTTTTCCCTGCTTGCCCCATGTGGCTCTTACCTCTGTCAACCTCATCTTTTTACTCTTGCTGTGTGACTTCAGGCAACTTCTTCACCTTCTCAGTGCCTGGGCATCCCTATAAGTTAACTAAAGATGCTGTTAATACCCACATCCTAGATGCTCATGAGGACCCAGTGTCTGCTTAGAGCAGGGGGGTGGGGAGTCGGTGGGGGGTGGAGGACTGTCCAGCTTCTGGAGGGTTTGGATACTGGCATCCAGCGATCCTCCATCTCTGTAATGTGGCCCTCTCAGTGGCTAAGCAGGGTGCAGCTGTGCTCAGTCAGATGTTTGCAGAGCAGCTGGTAGTGGCCTTTCTATCCTGGGTACTGCTCTGAGAGGGACCCTGGCATCCAAGGAACTTGGTGTCCATTGCTCCCTCACAGACGGCAATTCCCAAGTCCACTGGGCTGGTTACCATCCTTAGAGGCCAATCAGTACAGGTCCTCTGTGTGTTTCTGGGTGCTTCTCGAATCCATTCTTAAAAGTCCTGTGCTGCAGTCCTGTGTACAGAAGTTTCACACTGCTGCCTGCAGCAGCCTGCAGGGTTCTGTTCAGCAATCTCCACTCACGAGGAGCTGCAGAAAAGATTCTCAGGAAGAGTTGATATAAAGCAGAGTTGAGTTTATTAAGAAAAGAATGAGGGGGGCAGCTGGAGAAAGGGCTCAGAATTTAAGAGCACTAGCTGTTCTTCCAGAGGTTCTGAGTTCAATTCCCAGCAACCACACGGCAGCTCACAACTGTCTGTAATTCCAGTTCCAGGGGAATCTGACATCCTCACACAGACATACATACAGATAAAACACAAATGCACATAAAGTAAAAATAAATAATTATTTTTAAAAAAAGAAGGAAAGAGAAGAATTTAGGGCTGGGGAAGAAGCTCAGCTGGTAAAACACTTGCCAGCATGCAAAGGCCCTGAGTTCCATCTTCAACACAGATAAACAGGGCTTGGTCGGTCAGCGGGTTATCCTTAGCTGCTTAGCAAGTTCAGGGTCAGCCTGGGCTATGAGACCCTGTCTGAAAAAGATGAGGTGAAGAAGCAACCAAAGAAGTCATCCTCTAGCCAGCATCTGGCTTGCATGTGTGCTGGTGAGTGCATCCCCCACAGGTACACAAAAGCATGTACAACCTCATTCATGCACACACAGAGATGCTATTTAAACATGGGGTTTAACAGAAAGAGCAGTGCATATGAAAAGGACAGGACACACAGGTATTGGTGGGGCTTCGGAAGGCTCCCAGTCTCTTAGCTCCAGTGTGTAAGATTTTGGAGTCTTTGGAATTACGTTGCTCAAGGAGTTTTTAAAGGATCTGTCTCCCTGTCTTCTTTTTCTTTGCTTGCCCCCACTCTCTTTCTGAGATAAAGTCTTACTATGTAACCCTAGTTGGCCTTGAAGTCACTGTGCAAAGCAGGCTAGCTTTGAACTCATAGATCTGCCTGTCTCTGCCTCTGAGTGCTGGGATTACAGGTGTGTGCCACTACACCCAGCTTCCTTTTTAAAAAGAAGATTTATTATTTTTGTGTGCATGTATGCACACACATATGGGTAGGATTACAGTGTGATGGTGAAACCTTGGGCCACACAGATGGAACAAGGAGCCTTTGACTGTGAATAGGGATTGGAGATTCCTAGAAAATGGCAGGTTTAGGGGCTGGAGAGAGATGGCTCAGCAGTTAAGAGCATTAGCTGCTCTTCCAGAAGACCAAGGTTCAGTTCCCAGCTCCCACATGGCAGCTCACACTTGTCTGTACCTCCAGTTCCAGAGGATCTAACACCCTCACAAGACATATATGCAGGCAAAACACCAATGCACATAAAAAAAGAAAAAGGCAGGTTTAACTGGAAATGGAGAAAGGTCACACTGGAAGGCCACAGAATCTTGGGCCTCAACCATGGTTCATTGCTAGTTCAGTCTTTATTTTTGATGGTATGTGTGAGTGTGGGCACATTACATGCCACAGCAAACATGTGGAGGTCAGAAGACCCCTTCCCAGGGTCCCTCCTCACTGTGGTTCTGTTACTGGGGCCTCTGGCTGTTAGACTCTGCAGTGGCGTTTACTGGCTGAGCCTTCTCACTGGCCTACTTGAGGTTGTTATTGGAAATAGCTTCCCCTACAAGGAAGGACAGTTACCTACCCTGACAGCCTCCACTGCAAGGTTAAGTTGTGCTGGGGTTATGAGCTCTTAGCTGAAGAGGCTTGGACAGCTTGTGTGAGGGGTTCTTTCCTTTCCCACAATCCCTTGATTTCCCCTCTTTCTGTTTGCCTTCAGACTCAGATGGTGCTGAGTATCGCCTCCCTTCTGCTGCAACCCACTTCTGCTGGCTCCCAACCCTGCTCTCTCTTCACATACCTGGTGTCTGTATAACCAGCATTACCCACAGACAGATCCTACCCCATACACCAGCCAGCCTTGCAACTGGTGGCCCAGGTCCCCTTGGATTTGCCTAAAGGCCCGCATTTTGCTTTTCAGTATACTGGGAGGCGTGTCCCCCTTGGTGAGTGTAAGGTCTCAAGCGCAGGGTCTATGCCCATGTTTCGCCCCCTCAAAAGATGGGCATGCCTCTTCCTGGGGCTGGTTCTCCCCCTCTCTTCAGGCACATCTGCCAAGAGACCGTCTTGAACCCCTCCAATAACAGGGGTCACACTATGTACTGTTGTGTTCATTCCAAAGAAAGCTCTTACTCTCAGACAATTCTTTGTATATAGTAAGTAGATTTTAGTTTAAAATCTTTTGTATTTTGTATTGCCTCTTAAAGTCCTGGAATGGTTAGCCAAGGACCTGATATCCAGGAACTGAAAAACTGCCCAGGAGTTGAGGGCACCAACTGGACTGGCTTCTAGCAAGTCAGGCTGTAGGGAAACCCATTGGTTAGACAACCCCTCAGAACACTGTCTGAGTGCTTATGGGCGCTGTGACCTGGAGGGAATGGGTTGCCATGTATACAGGCCTTCCCTGACTGCTCACCGTTGGCCTGGCCCTTGGGAGTCTGATGATTCCTTGGGCCATTGGACAAGCCTCCTAGCCCCACATTCCCCGAGTCTGGGTGTCAGCCTGAGCCACACCCCAGTGTACACCTCCACCGCTCTGAGAGTAAAGGACTGGCTACCCAGGTCCCCGTGGGTAGGAGCCACAGAGCTGGCTTGGTACTGAGGAAAGCTGTTCTTTAAGGAGATCTGGCTGGATGCTGAGGGGGGACCCCTGCTATGGCCCCATTTGGCCTTGTCATAGCTCTGTCACATAAAGGGTTGAAATGGCATAGGGGAAGATGTCTCATACCCATGTAGACTCGACAGCTGAGACCAGAACTGGGGAGTCCGCTTCCCAGCCTTCCAGACCACTGTGCCAGCTCCCTCTCTCTCGTTCCCAGGATCTTTGGAAGGGCCGAAGGGCATTTTGGCAAGGGGAAGCTTCTGATGGCCCTCAGAGTGAGAGCTCTAATGGTTTCCATGTTCACACCCCCACAGAGGCTCTGCAGATGTGGATGTCAAGGCCCAGAGAAGGGGAGCAGCTCGCCTAGGGACACCCATCAGGAGAGGTGGAGCAAGGTCTCTAGGCTAAGACCCCAGTCCCTACAGCTGGTGTTTGTGCCAAGCCCCCAGGCTGCTCCCCAGATCCGCTGGGGTAGCCCTGCTGCCCACCAGGTGAGTGGAGATGAGAGAGGGCAGCCCCCAGCCCAGCTTCCTGTGTTGGGCACAGATGTGGACGAACATGGCAGGGTATTGGATGCCATGGAGCCTTCAACGTGGTTCCCTATGTGTGTCCTAGTCGCAGGACCTCCCGAACGCTGGGCTTCATCTTTGAACTCAGATTTCTCTCACCACGCATCATTCACTTGGCTGTTCATTAAGCACCTACTGTGTGCCTCACTCCGTGCACACCAGTGAGCAATTATACTAATTAAAAGAAGAGGGGTTTGCGTGTAACCAAGTTGGGTTCATGAAAGGGTTTGGGGGCCTCTACTAAAGGAGGTGACTTGAAACATTTTTATTGGTTTGTTTATTCTGTGTGCTTATGGGGAGGTGTGTGTGAGCCCATGGCATGTGTGAAGATCAGAAATCAGAGGACGACTTGCAGGACCATTCCTCCCACGTCTCTTTCTTCACCATGTGGGTCCTGGGGATTGAACTGAGGTCAGCAGGGTTTGGGGCAGGTGCCTGTACCTTCTGAGCCATCTCCCCAACGCAGGAAGTGACTTTCAAGCTGAGAGTTGAAGGGTACTGATTTTTCCCTGTGAAGCTGTCAGCGAGAGCAGTGTTTGCAGATGTCCTGTGGCTGGAGGGAAGGCCCCGCGGCCATCCCTTCTATAAGCCACATACTGTACTGCCATGATCACATTTAGCACCCCCCCCCACACACACACACCATGTTAACAACTGGTCAAGCTTAAGTTTGCCCCTCCTGTGTGCTGGGGACAGTGATTTGACTCAGTGCCCCTGCGTACAAAGGGCTGAAACTGACTTTGGGTAGCGGTGGTCAGGGCTTTGGACTGGAGTAGCTCGGGTCCTACGGTGCCAACAACACGCCCATTTTACGAGTGAAGGAATGGTGAGGTCAGCCCTCCCAGGCTGGCTCTACTCCTTTTCAAGACCTCAGTTTCCCTACTGGGTGGGGTGCCCTATTTGCTCCCAGAGGCTCTCTAACTCTGGGTCTTCTGTTGCCCCCAGCCAGGATCATGGGCAGCAACAAGAGCAAGCCCAAAGATGCCAGCCAGAGGCGCCGCAGCCTGGAGCCCGCCGAGAACGTGCACGGGTCAGGGGGAGCCTTCCCGGCTTCGCAGACACCGAGCAAGCCCGCCTCCGCCGACGGCCACCGAGGGCCCAGCGCCGCCTTTGGGGCCACCACGGCCGCAGAGTCCAAGCTCTTCGGAGGCTTCAACTCCTCGGACACGGTCACCTCTCCGCAGAGGGCCGGGCCTCTGGCAGGTCGGCTCTCCTCTTTGCTGGGTGTCCCTGGGCTGAGGTGCATCCTCTCTGGGCTCTGGTGATTTGGTTTACCGGAAGCTGAGGATGGGGAAGGACTCACAAACTGGACAGCGGGGTTTCTGCCGCTTTGGAGGCTGCCGGTTTCAGAGCATAACGGGATCCAAAGGAGGGGGCTGTAGGGAACCCTGAGATCCTGAGGGAAGGACCGCCCTGCACCGCCTAGCTGCCGCCTCCCGTCCAGCCTTTGTTCCCAATTTGGCTGTGCGGTGGCCCAAGTGCGCCCCTGCGCCCTCTGTTGGCGCTGCGAGGTGCGGCAGCCCTGAGGCCGAGGGGCTGAGCTGGGTGACTCACGCTCCTGCCAGATGAGTGCACGGCTACACACCCACTCGTGCAAACCCCACGCTCAGACCCAGCCACACGCACGGCTGCACACCCACACGGGCACATCCTACCCAGACTCAGCCATACGCACGGCTGCATATTCACACGGGCATATCCCATGCTCAGACCCAGTCACACGCATGGCTGCATACCCACACTTGCAAACACCGTGTTCAGATTCAGACCCAGCCACATGCACAGTTGCATGTGCATGCACCCCTCACGGCACCCCTCACGGCCAGACCTAGCCGTGTTATGTGCCCACACTGAATGGAGACACCATGGAAATGCTCACAGTGGAGACACAGCTAGGCCAGGCACCCTCAATGCAGCACACACAGATACAGGTGTGCATACAGCCTTGCACCCTCAGATGAACTCATTGCTTGCACACGGGATGCAGACAGGAGCTGGGTGCCCAGCTGCACAGCCCACCTCAGGCAACCCTTAGACAGACTGTCTGCTTCTGACAGACTCAGCCACACACCCATTTGGAGCCTTAGGCAATGAAGGGTGGGCTGCAAGTCAGAGGAGCAGCTGTGGGTGAGGAGAGACTGAGGGTCAGATGCCCGGAGCTTCCAGGTACATACACACAGAGGCAGAGTCGCCACTGTGCTAGGGTCTGAGCAGAACAACGGTGCCTGTACTCTGGAGCTTCTGCTTGTATCAGCTAGACACTGACGGGGAGCACTTCGCCTGCCTGCAGCCCTGCAGGGAGGCACAGGCCCCTAGCTCCTTCACAGGGACTCAGTGTGCCACTTAGGGTTAGGCAAGTCACTGAGGAAGACAGTCTCCCACCCCCCCCCCCCAGGGCTCTGACATCTGGAATCCCTCTCTGCAGGTGGGGTGACCACCTTTGTGGCCCTCTATGACTATGAGTCAAGGACAGAGACTGACCTGTCCTTCAAGAAAGGAGAGCGGCTGCAGATTGTCAACAACACGTGAGTGGCTCTGCGGGGAATGCACTGGGGGCATGGGCCTGTGTATACCCAGAACTGCCAGCAGAGGGCAGTGCAGAGCCCGCAGGGCCGCTTCTGCCCTTGGTGGGTGGTGGCCCTCCCTACAATCCTACAGCTGTCCTCCCTTTTCCTGGGCCCTGCCTTCGCACCTCAGCCTCTCCCTCTCTCTGCTTCTCTCTCGCTGGCCCTTAGGAGGAAGGTGGATGTCAGGTGTGTACCGAGGCCAGGTGGAGGGGGACGCTTCGCTGAGGCTGGGGGCTGCTCTGTGCATGTGCTTTTCCCCCTGCCCTGCTCGTGGTCTCCAGCTCCCAACCCCATCCCTGTCCCTTCAGCTTATTCTGCATCCCACATTTAAGCCAGCCCCCTCCATCTTCTCCCCACACCTTCCTGTTAGCTCACCACCTCCCTCTTCTGGTTTGTTAACCCCACATTGAGTGCCAGCTACATGCATTCTAGAGGCCAGGGAGGGAAGCGGTGTGGTGAGGAGTGGGTTGCCCCAGGCCAGGCCAGGCCAGGGGTGGGTAGAAGTAGGTTGGGGTCCCCAAAAGATGGCCATGAGGAGGGGCTGCCCATCCAAGGAAGGACAGTGAGCTACTGCAGGTAAGGGTGGTGGGCAACATCCCTGGGAGGGGGCAGCCGATGATTGGAGGTGTGTGCTGGCCTGTTGGGGCCTTGCTTTGGAGCAGGTAAGGTTTTGGGAGTTTGATTTGGGTTGTTCCGGAGGGTAGAGGAACCCATCACCGAGAGCCCCGTAGGCCTGGCCAAGGAGGCAAGCTTTCCACACCCCTGGATATGTCTCGCTGCTCATGCCTTCTGATCCTTGTGCATGCTGCCCTTTTGCCTGAAATATTCCTTCACCTCTAGCCATCTGGTGAACTCCTATTCATCCCTCAAGACCCAGGGTGGAACTGCCCTCTGTGTGAGGCAAAAGCGAGCAGGTGCCATGTGCAGTGCCAGTCGTTTTACCCATACCTTCATCTTGTTATCTCTGACCTTGGAGGCAGCACTAATGGTGGAGGGGCTGGGCTATTTTTACATGTGAGGAAACTGAGGCTCAGAGTTGTGAAGGCCCTTGTCCAAGGTCACATGGCTACTGAGTAGCAAGCCCAGGATGGAACCTGGACATTCGCTCTCCCTTTCCCAGACTGCCATCCTGTCCCTTTGCTTCTGGGGATTCAGGTTGCTGCATTTGGCTGAGGTCATCGGAGGCCCCTCTTTCTGCCATTGACTACGCTGGCTGTGGCTTTGGGCAAATGATGACTCTCTCTGCGCCTCTCTTTCCCCATTGGAGAGATGGATGCTTTGGATTGAAAGATTTTAGAGAGCTTTGGATCAGAGTCTGTGTAGCCTTGGGCAAACCCTCTCCTACTCCACACCTCGCTTTCCCCAGCTCTATAAAGAAAACACTGGCCTCTCTTGCCAGAGTGACCAGAGTGACTGTGTTTTCCTCCTCTCTCAAATGTACTTTCCTCAACGGGGAGGGGGGGAGTGGGGGAGAGTGAGGGGTGATGAGGGGGGATCTTGCCTTCTTCCTCGCAGGATAACCTTGGGGGTCAAATCAGACAGGAAAATGTATGTACCCCAAGTGGGGGAGAGCTCTGGGGCACAAGTGTTGGGTGGACTTGCTCCCTGTCTGTGTGTCTGTCCTGCACGGCTCCAGTCCTGCACATATCCATCTAGAAGGGACCCCTGTGGCCCAGCAGCAGTCGAGCCAGGGTCCGATGCTCACCTGGCCTCCAGCAGGTCTTTCAAGCTCTTCCAGCCCCGCTTGCTCCTGGCCTCAGCCTCTCCATCTGTAAATGTGGGTGAAGATATGCTCAGACATCCGGTGTATTCAAGCTGGGGCTGTGTGATGTGAGGCCAGGGCCTTTCTGTCTCTGGGCCTGGGTGAGGTTGCTGTACATCTTCTCAGGATCAAGGCAGGGGTCAAGGACAACACCAGCTGACTCATTTGACGGTCACCTTGCCAACCCGCAAACGTTGCATGGAGATGAGCTGGAGAGCCACTGAGCCTCATGGTACCCACAGGGAGACACCTTCCCTGGGACCAGGACCTGGCTTGGCTGTGTGACCTTGCACAGAGCCCTTTGCTTCTCCGGCCGCAGTCTCCATCTGTACAGGGTGTGGGAAGGGCTGGACCCTACCTCCCAGGTCCTGTCCCCAGATCTTCCCTCAAACCTCCAGCCTTTGCCCTGTCTCCTTGATTGCTTTGGATGTGAGGCCTCTGGCTGTCCCCCAGACCTGTTCGCAGTGTCTCCAGCACTGCCTGGCTCTCGCTCTCTCCCTTGGCCCCTTGCCGCGGCCTCTCACCACCCCCATCTCTACCTCTTCTCTCCGGTTGGGCTCTCGCTTGCTCCTCCCTCCTCTGTCTCTGGACCCCTGCTCCAGCCAGACCTGGTTCACATTCAGATGGCTGCAAAGGTACTTCCTCCCCTCCCCCCTCCTGCCCAGGCCCAGAGCCCCGAATGCTGCTGGGAGTCCTCCTCCCTCCTCCCTCTTCCTTCCTCCCTCCTCCCCTCCTTCCTGGGGCAGTTAGTGTAGAGGGCACTGGGACTCTGCCACCTTATTCCCCATGACTCGCTGTGTGACTTTGGGCATGGCCCAGTTCCCTCTGGCCTCACTTTCTCCATGCATGGGGTAGGCTGCAGGAGGAGGCTTCTAGTTAAGGACTTTTAGGAGTGAGCTATGATTTGGGACAGGGGCCAGCATTGATTGTTTGAAGGGATGGGCCTGGACTGTTGCTGGGCCCCAGAAGGGCCAGCCTTGCCTCCACTGGGAGTCAGGGCTCTCAGGGCTTGGGGAGACTTTGAAGGTGTAATCTGGCATCCATCTCATGTAAACCCTGCTACCCCTCCTCCTCCCCCAGACAGGGAGCTTCCTCCCCCCCTCTCTCCCAAGGCAGCCCTTGGCACCTGCGGGACACTATGCACTTCTGGACAGTGCCTCTGGGTTCCGTCCTTGGGCTGACAGGGCTCAGTTCTGCTGAGGTTTGGGTGGTATCTTTCTGGGTCAGTGTGACAGGGAGGTATGAGGTCCAGGCCAGCTCCTGCTGGCTTGCTGTGGACACAGGCTGGTCTAGCTCCCTTTGCTGCAGAGCCTGGCCGTGCACCTGGGAAGGTCAGGGTTGCTGACCCCGCTCCCCTGATGATGTCATTCTTTGCTCCCTCCCATCTGCTCAGAGAGGGAGACTGGTGGCTGGCACACTCGCTGAGCACGGGACAGACCGGTTACATCCCCAGCAACTATGTGGCACCCTCGGACTCCATCCAGGCTGAGGAGTGAGTATGTTGTATGGCTACTGTCTGCTGTTGCCGCCACCTCTAGCACAGTGTCCCTCCTGGTCCTGAGTGGCAGCAGTCGGCCGCTCTTGAGTCCTAGTACCCAGGGCCTGCATTGTGGGCAGTGAACCCTGGCCACCTAACACAGATTTGTTCCTCCCACCCCAGGTGGTACTTTGGCAAGATCACTAGGCGGGAGTCTGAGCGGCTACTGCTCAATGCCGAGAACCCAAGAGGGACCTTCCTTGTGAGGGAGAGTGAGACCACAAAAGGTATGCCTGAGACATCTGTGGATGTCTGGTGGAACTCAGCTTTGAGGGTATTGTGTGAGCTGGGTATTGGAGGAATAGGAGTTTGGTACATTGTATGGGGAGGGAAGAGCCCTTCAGTGGAGGTGACAGCAGGAATTAAAGTCAGGATGGTGGCCAAGGAAGACAGTAATCCAGAGGTGGTCATGGCACCCAAGCGGAGGCTTTCTGCTTTGGGCTTAGATTCTCACACGGGGAGCGGGCACAGGGAATGAGGAGTTCTGAGTGCACACAGCTACACTTGTCCCCGGGATGGCGGGATTGCTACAGATGCAGGGGGGCCTATGTTTCCCATTCCCCCTTCCCAAGGGCCTTTCCTGGCCTTCCCCTTCCCCCACAGTCATCTCTGCTCGGTTCCTGCCCCTTCTCCTAGCCCATCACCACGGCAACCAAACCAGGCTGCTTCCTGTGGGCCTGGGGCTCAGCAGGAGATGGAAGAGTGCTTGTACCCCTGCGTGTTTGTGCACTGCTGGGGTTGGGATTGGCCAGAGCTGCTTGGGAGTGAAATGTGGTGGTGTGGTCCTGGTTCTTGGGGCTCGGGGTATGGGCAAATGTGATCATAGGGTCCCTGGGCATAGATGTGCTACTGTGTGTCTATGTGGTCCCACTTGGCCATGGCCTCAAGCCTCTGCCTTCTGTATGAACCTGATTTGTTCCTCTGCAGAAACTGTGATTTCCCAGTGTAGCTTTGAGACAGTCAAGGCTCCAGGTCCACCCCCACCTGGCTCACCTACATGTTACCAGAGAGTCATCATATCTCCCTGCTGATGCCCAGCAGGGCTCCAGGGGCCTCGGCAGTGGATGATGGGGAGGCAGGTCTTCCATTCAGAGCTGCCCACTACCTGTCAGGTCTCTGCAGCCTGTGCCCTGCCTCTGGGGCTCTCCTTGTTCCCTGATGCGACCCCAGATGTTCCTGGTTCTATTTAACAAAGGTTTCTGTTCAGGACATCGCCTGCTGTGGTTTTTCTAGGCTCCAGGGAGGCAGAGAGGGGCAAGCCCAAGAGGCCACACTTAGCGTGCGCCTCCTGCCCTGAATTACTGTGCACACCAGGGTCAGTGCTGATATGTCCACCTAGCCAGCCACTACTGCTGCTCCGATAGTCTCCGGGAAGCAGAACAGGACAGACACGGGAGTGTGTAGACTCAGAGAGGGCCGCAGCCACCCTAAGGTCACATAGCTGCGTGGGGCCATCCCCCAGACAGCATGTTGGGGTACTTGCAGAGTACACATGACTCTATATAACAGTTTCATTGTCTAGAGGAGGAAACTAAGACCCATAGGGGACAAGCTGTGGCTTGGTAGGGTCACATAGTTGGGAGCCTGCTTGGGATTGGGAGGTCTTACCAAGGCTAAGCGTTGGGGGGGGGGCTCTGCCATGGGGGTTTCATGCCTTGCCTGACCATGCCTGCATGACTGCCCTGGAGCCTGTGCTGAGAGAGGGTGGGAACTGAACTCACTTCCTCAGGTGAGGGACACATCAGCAGGGTGCCACAGCCGTCCCCTTGCCTGCCCGCAGGTGCCTACTGCCTCTCTGTATCCGACTTCGACAATGCAAAGGGCCTCAATGTGAAACACTACAAGATCCGCAAACTGGACAGCGGAGGCTTCTACATCACCTCCCGCACCCAGTTCAACAGCCTGCAGCAGCTAGTGGCCTACTACTCCAGTGAGTATCCCCTGGCTGTGTGGGGACTCACCGGCTGCCACCCCAGGAGGAGATAGGTTACCACAGGGTGTACCTCCTCAGCCCTCCATCTCCTCCCTCCTTCCCTCTCCCTGCCCAGCCCCCTCCTCTCCTTCCTCTGCAGCTGGCTGATGAGGAGGGGTCTGCCTTGAGCAAGCTAGAAGGGAGGGGCAGAAGCTGGTGGTGATTGTTTCTGCAGCCCTAAGACTGGTTTGAACCAGTTCCTGGGAAAGGCCGGGAGGCCTCTTTGATAGAGAACAGTGAGTGGCTGCAGCTGGGCTCTGTGCAGCTGGGGCTGGTGTGCTCTTCTGTGCATGGTGCCTGCAGGCTTAAGCTGCCTGAGCTGTTCCCTCAGCCCTGGCCTCTGGCTTCCCTAGGACCAGCTGCCTCTCTGTCAGTCTGCCTCTTCCTCTGGGCCTTATTTGGGCCCAGAGCAAATCCTCCAGGGTGAGATTCCAAGCCTGGTGGCTAAAGGTCGGTCCAGGCCTTCACCAGTCAGTTTCCTCAAGCTGGCAGCTTTTCCAACATCACAGCTGATCTTGTCTTTACACAGGCTGTGTGATGTTTGGGGTACCACCCTAGTTACCCCCAAAGCTAGGCCGGAAACCTCTTCCTCTGGGATGCCTTCCAGGGCTCCCCAAGGATTCCCAAAGCCTGCTTGCCTCCCCCTCAAACTATCCTCTGTGGTCCTGAGAGGTGACTAGGGGAGCTTGATAGGCGACTGGGAGCAGGTGGAGGTGGTATCTATGGCCTCCCTAGGGTAGGCTCCCATACCTGTTTCCCCTGGTTCTCTGGCATCCTCAAATCAGATGAGCAGGTGAATTTTGTGTTGCAGGCCTGTGGTGGGGGTGGAGACATACAGGAGGGTGTCTGCCTACCCCCAGAGCTGGTGTGCACATGATGCATAGGGCCATACCCCCAGGACAGGGAAGCCAGCCTGCTGTGGCACCCTGCCTGAGCCCCATTCCCTGCCTTCATCTTCAGAACATGCTGATGGCCTGTGCCACCGCCTCACTACCGTGTGCCCCACGTCCAAGCCTCAGACCCAGGGCCTGGCCAAGGATGCCTGGGAGATCCCCCGGGAGTCCCTGCGTCTGGAGGTCAAGTTGGGCCAGGGCTGCTTCGGAGAGGTGTGGATGGGTAAGAAACACACACCCCTGTCCCCACCCCAGCCAGGCAGTTCAAGGATCGTGGGTCCCCTTCTCTTTAATTGTCTCTGCTGAGCAGTCTCTGTTTTTTCTATTGTACATTAACTGTACAGAGTATCACGTTGCCTGTGAAAATTTCAACCTTACATGTAACGTACTTGCTCATGCCCCTTCCCCCTGACCATGTCGCAGCCAGGGTCAGCACTGAGATGGGCACCCCCAACTCCTTGTAGCCCATGCATGTAACGACTAGGACAGCTGTGTACCAAGAGCTGCTGGGGCCTGGGTACCACAGTCCTCCAGGGCCTGAGTGTCTGGTCAGGTCTCAGAGCAAGCCTCAGCCTCCTGATGTAAAATGGGGACTGATGTAAACTTCAAGAGGCATCTGCATATTAGCGGGACACAGAAAGAGAAAGTACTGTGGGGACGCATTAGTGGGAAGTCAGTGTCCCGTTTCCTGTCTAACCCTGGAGCCCTTGGGAGTTCCCTGTGACAGTGAGCTGCAGACAGCCCTAACCAAACCCAGGTCCCTCTGCCACCAGCTGCTCTCTGCTGAGGAGTAGAGGGGGACTGGTCGGGGCTTCAGTGGCAGTACCATTTCACTCTTCTCCCTTAGAGGGCACTAGAGGGCCTGGGTCCAGGTGAGGAAGGGAAGTCCTGGGCTGTGAGGAGGAAGGGCAGAAGGAGAAGGCAGGCCCTAAGCTCAGACCAAAGGAAGGGTTTAGGCAGAACCTGGGTTGGTCCTTCTCAACTGTGATTCTTGGCAAGGGTGACATGGGGATCTGAGAGAGCCTGCCACCTCTTTCTGGGGCTCTACATAGACCAGGAGTCTCCATAAAAAGATCCTGGATGGCCTGACTCAAGAAGGGCTGGAGAGCTGACCTATGCTTCCCCCAGACCCAGTCCTGTGACAAGGACTTCCAGGCTGGCCTATCGGTTCCCTGCCTGGTGTGGTATCAACTCCTGTTCTGGTGGCCCCAGTGGTCCCAGACACAGGCCTTCCTCTTCTGTGTTCCATGTTCTGGTTGCTGAGTACTGACAGTGTCCTACCCAGCAGAAACATGGTCACCCCAAGTGAAAATAGTTGAGATGGGAACTTGGTCACCTGCCCATCGGGCTGCTGTCCTGCTTTCTGGCAACATACCTGATCAATCAATGTCTAGTAGCAGCGACAGTTTGTTAGTAGGCCCCAGACACACATTCCATAGTCCCGGGAGGACTTGAGTCCATTGTATAAGTGGGAATTCAGAGTCTCAGTAAGGTCCCTGGCCTTGTCTGAGCTCATTCCATGAGTTGGGAGGCAAGACTTGAGATAGGACCCATGTAGGTTGGCCCCGGTGCGACGGTATGATGGCCTATACTGAGGTTGCTGTGTCCCTCCCTGCACAGGGACCTGGAATGGCACCACAAGGGTCGCCATCAAAACCCTGAAGCCAGGCACCATGTCTCCAGAGGCCTTCTTGCAGGAGGCCCAAGTCATGAAGAAACTGAGGCATGAGAAACTGGTGCAGCTGTATGCCGTGGTGTCCGAGGAACCCATTTACATCGTGACAGAGTACATGAGCAAGGGTAAGGCTGTATCTGGAGTGAGCTCCAATTAGGCAGCTTCGCAAGGCAGGCCACACAAGGCGACTTACTTCTTACCCTGAGCCAAGCCTTGATGAGCGGATGGTTACCTGAGGGACTGCCTCGCTCCTTTCATAAATAATAACAAGAAATAATACTTTTTAAAAAAGAGTTATCCTTTTGTCCTTTACCACTGTCAAGATCTCTACTGTCGCTGGGTGATATGGTGGCTCACACCTGTAATCCCAGTGCCCAGGGGGGTTGAAGCAGGAGGATCCTGAGTTTGAGGGGAGGCTGGCTACATAGCAGGACTGTCTCAGTAAACAGCAAAGTGGGGTTGGGGATGTAGCTTGGTTGGTAGAGTGCCTAGCATGCCCAAGGCCCTGGGTTTGGCCTTAGGTTTGGTCCTCAGCAATTAGGCACATTGACATATACCTGTAATCCCAGCACTGAGAGGGGAGAAGGAGGAGGATCAAGAGTTCAAGGTCAGCCTTCATGGCATAGTTAGTTGGTCTACTTGAGATGCTGTCTCAAAACAAAACAAAACAAAACAAATGTATATATAGCACCCACATTACCCCGAAGTTGCCTACTGCCCTTAGCTATGGGACTCCCCAGCCCTAGCCCCAGCCCCAGGCAGCCACTGGCTGCCAGGCTTTGTCCGAATAAACATAATGTGCCTTGGGCTTCACACATGGCCTTTTGCATCTAACATCCCCCACCACGCACACGTGCGTGCACACGCGCGCGCACACACACACACTACAAGGACCCAGTAGGATTTCTTCGTCTAGTCCCTGGAGTGTTTGCCTTTGAGTGGCAAACACAGAATTGAGGGTTTTTGTTTGTTTTTTCCTGACTGTTTGAGCAGGTGGCTGGGGCTGAGAGTCTGCACAGGGAAACCCTGGCAGGACTAGAGCCCGCTCTCTCTCTCTCCAGGGAGTCTGCTGGACTTTCTCAAGGGGGAAACGGGCAAATACCTGCGGCTACCCCAGCTGGTGGACATGGCTGCTCAGGTGAGTCTTCCCCTTTCACTTTCCTACACCGTGAGCTCTTCGGCTCAGAGCGCCCCCTCTAGGAGGCCTGTTTCATTACACCCAAATCCCACCTTGCCACCCTGGAGCTTTGCTGGTGCCAGGGGTGGTAGTTCTGGACAATGTACCATATCTGGGCATCAGAGACGCACATACACATAATTAAAAATAAAAATAAAATGTTAAAAGTTTAAGAGTTATTACTCCCACTTGATAGACGAGGAAACTGAGACTCAGAGAGGGAACTTGGGACAACAGGCAGGACCAGGCGTGTACCTGAGTCTGCGGGTCATCTAGGACCTCTTTTTATAGTCACCTGCCTCCCGGGTAGCATCTTATTATGACCTTCCCATTGCCCTTTTCCTGTCCCCCTCCCCCACTGAGCTCTGGTCTCCCTTCTCTCTTCTTAAAAGTTGTATTCTGTATTTTTTTTGGTATGAATGCTCTGTCTGCACATATATCTGCAGGCCAGAAGAGGGCATCATATCCCATTATAGATGGTTGTGAGTCACTGTGTGGTTGCTGGGATTTGAACTCGGGACCTCTGGAAGAGCAGCCAATCCCTTAACCACTGAGCCATCTCTCCAGCCGTGGTCTACTTTTTCAAACCAGTGATATTTATTATAGGCTGAATGGATTCCTTGCTTGAGAAGACATGGGATGGGCAAGGCGTTTGGCTGTATCTCCATCCCTGGCAGTGACCAGCCCAGGTCACTGCTCACAGCCCTGGGATGGGTGTGGGTTGGCCCCTGAGCCAGGCTGTCTGTCTCTACAGATCGCTTCCGGTATGGCCTATGTGGAGCGGATGAACTACGTGCACCGGGATCTCCGAGCCGCCAATATCCTGGTTGGGGAGAATCTGGTGTGTAAGGTGGCTGACTTTGGTCTGGCCCGGCTCATAGAAGACAATGAATACACAGCCCGGCAAGGTGGGAGCTCTGGGGGTACATCTGATGGTGTCAGTCCGCCAAGTGGGAAATGAGAATAACGTGCCTACGGGCAGACTGTAGTGACACCCTGTGCTTTCTTGCCTTTAGGTGCCAAATTCCCCATCAAGTGGACTGCTCCCGAAGCTGCTCTGTATGGCAGGTTCACCATCAAGTCTGATGTGTGGTCCTTTGGGATCCTGCTGACTGAGCTCACCACTAAGGGACGGGTGCCCTACCCTGGTGAGGAGGCTATACCTGTGACCCCGACCTTGGTCCTAGGGCAACCCCCCCCCCCACACATACATACCACATCTGGGCTTCCTCTTTCCAGGGCTGGATACTAAAGAGGCTGATCTCTGGTCTCAGGCTGCCTCTGGTCAGGGCTGTTAGCCTCAGAGACAGGGTTTTATCCACCATAGGCTAAAAGCTGTCTAGGCTGCATCAGTCTCTTGAGCCATCTCCTCACAGCCCTCTCTCCATTCATAGGGATGGTGAACCGTGAGGTGCTGGACCAGGTGGAGCGGGGCTACCGGATGCCTTGTCCCCCCGAGTGCCCTGAGTCCCTGCATGACCTCATGTGCCAGTGCTGGCGGAAGGAGCCTGAGGAGCGACCCACCTTCGAGTACCTGCAGGCCTTCCTGGAGGACTACTTCACCTCTACCGAGCCGCAGTACCAGCCCGGGGAGAACCTATAGGAACTGTGTGCACAGGACTGTCGCCCTCGGCTTCTGGGTGTGGCCTCTGATGCACCTGCCTCCCTTCACCCTGTCTGTGGGGCTGAGTTGCCTCATGCCCTCTGGGGCATGGAAGGGCTTCAGGGACTGGGGCAGCCTGGAAGGACAGGTTGAGGCTGGTACGGTGACTGTCGCATAGCCTGCTCTGGCCACAGGGCCCACTCTGTATTCTCTCTGGAGTCAACCTACTTCTCGCATTAGACAGTGGGTGAAGAGCAGGACTAGGGGCAGTTTTCCAACCTCAGCCCACCCCACTCACCTGGTTCCTCCCCGCTTTCTTCACCCTGGGTCTGTTTCAAGTTGGCCAAAGAGCCTTTCCAAAGAATGAGGCACAGCCCTTGGCCTACACACACTTCCTGTCCCTGGCCGTCCTTGTTGGAGGCTTCTGGGTAGAACACTGGGTCTGGAACCATCTTCCATGGCTCTCAGGCTAGACAGCCCAAGGCCCAACATACGGTGGGATGAGAGTCAGAGTGAGCACTCCTTCAGCCCTGTCCTCCGCATGGGACCCTTGGCGATCACCAGCGCATCGCCCTCATGTCTCTGTTGGGAAAAGTGAATCCAGGAGGGGCTGTGACTCGCCCAGGACCACGGGCAGTTCAGGGTTGAGGTGGGTCAGCACCTGGTGCTCCCTCTGTCTTCCTCAGGAACTAATGAAAACTGTCCTTAAAGACAATGGACAGGCTGGGGTCTGAGAATGGGTTAAAGGTGGCAGAATTCTGGTGCCATTGATGCTCATGGGTCTGCCGAGGGGGAAGAATCGAGGCAAGCATGACGCTGAGCCAGGAACGAAGGGCCGAAAGGATGGTGTGGACCAGGCTCAGTCACAATGGGGGTGGGTTCTGAGCTCCCAGACTGCAGAGGCAATCAAGTAGAGTTGGAAGAACTAAGAAGTTGGGAGCCCTAGTTCTCCTTTTGTCCCAATCATTTCAACAGCTGCCTCCTACTCTCAGCCCTTAGCTCATGGGGAGGGAGCAGAGTTCCTTGGCCAGGGAAAGGATGGCAAGAATCCTCACTGCTGTGTTCCAACTCTGGCCCTGCCCTCCCTCTGAGCTGCAGTTTCTGCCCCCTGTGGCTGTGGCCCCTGCCATTGCTCAGCTGCTGTGTAGACCACAGCTGGGCATCTGAAGAGAGCACAGCCCAGGAGCGCAGCAGACTGCTCGCTCCCTGACTCTTCTGCCCAGCCTTGGGGTATGTGGTGGCTTCTCTCTGCGTCAGTGTCCCCGTCTGTAAGGTGGGTAGTTGATGACTTGTGGCGTCTCAACTGAGGGCCCCTGTGTGTATGTGTGTGTATACATGTGCCTGTGTGTCTTCCTTTGTGTCCATATTTAACATGTAAAAACACCCTACTCTCTCCCCAGATATGACCATTTCACCCACTGCCCCATCACAGCAATAATGTCCCCACTGTCGGGGCTTTGAGCCAGCCAGGCCCTGCTTGTAGGGAAGAGGCCAAGCTTGGCCTGCCCTGACATTTCCACTTTCCTCCCATCGTCTCTTACCCAAGTTTTCCCATCCACCTGGCAAGTCTGAACTTACCACCCCATCCTCCCTACCCCACTCCAGCTGCCCAAGGACCTTTGTATATGGTGGCCTCAACTGTCCTGTTTTCTTTCTCTCTCTCTCTCTTTTTTTTTTAACAGTGTTTTGTAGATTTCAGATGACTATGCAGAGGCCTTGGGGACCCCCCCCAGCTCTGGGCAGGGCCTGGGGATCCCACATTCCATGGCCCAGGCTCAGGAGGAGGGGGATCCAGAACTGGTTGTACATACTTTGCATACTGTCTGATTAAACACAAACAGACCTCAGTTTGGCCAGCTGTTTATTGCACATCTACTATATGTGGGAGAGAAAGAGGAGTCCTGAATGTGAGGGGACATAGCAGTTAGGCGCCTTGATCCCTGGGTGGCTTCTGGACCTGGGGGTGATGGACCAGGTGGGACAGGCACGGCACATCTGCCCTTATATGAGGGTCTGGGGGAAGCACCAAGTGTAGGACGAGGGTGCTTGTGAGATGTGGGCAGCTGGCAGGATGGAGCAGGGTGCCCAGTCTGCATGGATTGTGCTCATGGGTGACCTCAAAGGCTCTGTGTATGAGTGTGTCCTGGTAGGCCTGGCTTGGGTAGGAGTGAACCCATGCAAACCCTGAGCCAGGAGAAGCATGCCACCTTCCTTGTCCCTAGCCCATCTGGAGACGTGAAGAGACTACCTTTCTCCAGAATAAACCTGGGCCTGCAAGTCTCTGCTAGCTGCACAGTTAGAACCAGAACCCGTCTCAGTTCATGTGCCCTTCACAAGCCAGTACCACAGGGGACGCCCCAGGCCACCCCATTCTTCCCACTCACTCCAGCCGGCCGAGGACCTTTGTATACGGCGGCCTCGACAGTGTTTTCTTTCTTTTTCTTTTAAATGTGTGTCAGGGAGCAAGGCAGGTGTGGATAGGGGCTTACGGCCTGTCTTCTGCTTCCGCTCACCCAGTTCACAGCCACCCCATGCAGTGCTCTCAAGCTCTCCCTTTCCACGCTGTCTGGGACCCTCCTCCCTGTGTTCTCTGTCCATTTCCAGCTTTATACCCTGGGCCTGGGCTGGTTCCACTCTGGAAATCTCTTCCCTCTTACTAGCTGGAGACTCCCATCCAGCCTTCAAAATGTGTCAGTGGCCATAGAGCATCCTGCAAGTTTTCTCAGAGCCCTGGAATCTTCTGGGGGGTGGTCACAGTGCTCCAGAGCCCAACCCACTGGACCAAGTGCTGGGGCACTGGCTGAGATGCCCCCAGGCCCAGCCCTTGGGGCGGAATCTATGCAGGGGAGGGAGGTGGTGGGCACTGTCCTCTCCTCCCCACTTCTCTGGTTTCTAGTTCCACGCTGTGGCCTGTGTTAGGTTTGCTCTCAGGGGGCTCTGGATGTGAGGCAGGTGCAGACAGCAGAGGGGTGCCACGCTTGGCCTGGGCCTCCAGCTGCTTCCCTGTCCAGCTTCAGAGCATGAGACCCTGGGGCTGATGTTAAAGACGTCACTGACCTGTCTGGTTCTTGCAGTCTTTCTATCCCCTCTTACAAAAAAGATCCCTGAGCCTTAGCTGCAGGAGTTGTGGTGCAGATTTTCATGATCCCCCAAGGAAGGCCTCACCCTCCCTGGGGAGTGGATGGGGAGGTAGGATGAGGGGTTGGGGGTGTTATGGGGGAATGGGAGGATAGGAGGGAGAGGGAACTGGGATTGATATGTAAAATAATGTTGTTTCTAATTTAATAATAATAATAATGAAAGAGCACTGGCTGCTCTTCCAGAGGACCCAGGTTCAATTGCTAACACCCACATAGCAGCTCACAACCACCTGTCACTACAGTTCTAAGGGATCCGACACCCTCACATAGGTATACATGTAAGCAAACCACCCATCACACATAATACAGATAAATAATATATCATTAAAAACAAAATTAAAAGAAATGTATTTAAATTCCAGAATATTACATGTTTTAAAAGTACCAAATACAGGCTAGGGACCCTCAACACCACGTCACGGAAGTAGGGAAGAGACTGATGGGCCCCACCCCTCCCTGAGGATTTACATGTCGCCAAGGATTGACAGAAGAAACTGAGACGTTTTTGGTAGTAGCATAGGCATTGGTGAAGTAACATACTCTTCCCATGCTATTGTAAGCAACCCTGGGGAAATTCATTGGTTAAAAAAAAAAAAAAAAAAGGAAAAGGAAAATAAATAAAATAAGACAAAAGGATTTAGAGAATGAGCTGAGAAGAGGAAGGGGTTAGTGGGAGTGGAAAAACAGAGGTAATAAGGGTGAATACTTCCCACAGTGCATTTACGGACATGTGTGGAAACATAATAAAATCCATTAATATGTACTAAGAAAAATTACTAAAAATAAAATGACCAAATAAAGCAGAAAAGAAAGGAAGGAAAAAGAAAAAGAAAAAACAAAACAAACAAAAAACAGGGTCTCACTATATAGGCCTGGCTGGCCTCGAACTCACGGTGATTCACCTGCCTCTGCCTCCTCATGCTGGTTTAAAAGTCCTCCAGGAGGTAGTGGTTCACCCTTTAATACCAGCACTGGGGAGGCAAGGCAGAAGTAGGCAGCTCTTTTGAGTTTGAGGCTAGCCTGGTCTACAAGGCAGGGTCCAGGACAGCCAGGGCTACACAGAGAAACCCTGTCTCATTGGGGGTTGTGGTGGTGGTGGGGAGTCTGTGTCTCCCATTCCTTTTTTTTTTTTGTTTGTTTGTTTGTCCTACACCCAGGGTGGTGTGTGTGTGTGTGTGTGTGTGTGTGTGTGTGTGTGTGTGTGTGTGAGACATCTCTCTGGCTCTATTTCTCTGTCTCTGTCTTTTACCCTTGCAGATCTCTCTTTCTCGTTCATTCATTCATTCATTCATTCATTCATTCATCTCAAAACAAATGCTTGTGGCTTTGATGTCTGCTGGTCTGCAAGGGGTGGGCCCAGCCCCCATACTAATTCCTACCCTTCAGGCCTGGATTTCTGCAAAGCTCTTCAACACCCAGCCCACCCCCATCTTTGATACTGCCTTCTTTCTGTCTCTCCTTGCTCCGGCTCTGGGGGTCACTGCCATCGGCTTGGGGGTGTGTTTTCTTCTACTCCCATGGTTCTTCTGCAAACACTAACAGTGGAGCAGCTGTTCCTGCCCAGCTGTATGTGAGAGGGAGAGGGGCAGACAGAGGCTCTCATCCATTCCTCCGTCCTCTCCCTGCCTCCAGGGAGCTGCCTAGGCTCTGTGACTGTGTGCGTCCCTGTGTGTGCTCGATATGGGTTGGGGGGTTTCACTCACCCATTTCCTGTCTGCTTCCAGGTCTCCTTCCTCCATCATGATTATTCCAGATGTGCTGGCCTCCCTCTGAGTCCTTTCCACCTCCCCCTTCCCCTCTGTTTTTATAATTTGCAAACTCTGAAAGCCATCTTCAGCCTCCCTTCTACCTAAGTGCTCAGAACACTGCTTCCTCCATTCTCTCCCTCACTGGTTCCTTCATTTGTTTCCTTGATGGTTTGTGTGGAGTCCCTGACGTGGCCCCGGCTGGGATTTGGGAGCTAAAGAATAAGCTGAGTCCAGCAACCACCTTCTGTCTAAAGAACAAGACAGGACAGGTGCAGAAAGTCCCTAGGTGTCAGGAGAGTGTCAACAGGCCCTGAGCTTGTCTGAATGGTGGAGTAGAGATCTGGGGAAGAGAAAGGCTGATTGAGAGAGAGAGAAAGAGAGAGAGAGAGAGAATGTGTGTGAATGTAGATGTGTTTACATGTGTGTGAGCATGTGTCTGTGTGTATGTGAGCTTGTGTGTGTATGTGTGATAGCATGTATGTGTGTGAGCATGTGAGCTTGTGTGTGTGTGTGTGTGTGTGAGCTTGTGTGTGTGTTTTCTTGGGTCTGCATCCCCCTTCCTTACCCAGCACCATCTGAACTCCCACAGTCCAGGTGTGTGAATCCCCTGAGTTGTATGTGCAATGTGGAACATATGTGGTGTGGTTGCATTTTGTCTTGTGGGAGTTTGTGGTGTGTGGAGTGAGACATTAGTGGCACACAAGGTGTAGTGTGGTACATAGCATATTTGGTGTGCACGGTGTGGAATGTGTGGTATGTGACACATGGTGTGTGTGTGGCAGGATTGTGATAGACTATGGGCCCATATATTATGTAAAGCAAGGCATGTGTGGAGCCGCGGTGTGAACTTGGGTCTTTCCTGTACTTGGATCCAGAGTAGTGCCAAGGTTTCCTTCATGCCAGGAACAGAAGTGGCTCCATGTTATACCTGCGTTCGTTGATTGTCCTGCATTCAGCGCTTACTGCTGTGAGGCACTGTGGTGGGTGGCTGTCTGACCTGCTTCCTCCCTGTCTCTGTTTCCCAGTCTTTCTTTGTCCCCCTTCTCTGTCTCGGCTCCAGGTTATAGCTCTGTATGTTGCTTGCTCTGGTACTGATTAGTTTCAATTGAGATGTGATTGCATAGTCCCAAGTGTGCATCCACCAGCAACCGGCAAGCCTTTCTTTTCATCCCCGTCCCCCCCTCCCCCTCCCCCTCCCCATCCCCAGGCTCATTAAAGTCCCCTCAGGCATGCCTATGGGATCAGACTACTGCTTCCTAATGTGCAGCCTTCCCTTGGCTTTGGGGTCTCTGCCATTGGCTGGGGAGGGTTTTGGTTTTTTGTTTTGTTTTGTTTTTTGTTTTTGTCTTTTTTCATTCTCATGGTTCTTCAGAAAACAGTCATTGTAAAGCATTTGTTGCTGCTAGCCTTGTGTCATCTCTGTGAGTGTGAGTATGTGTGTGGGGGGGCGGTCCTTACAGCTCTTGCAAGCCCCAATCTGGCTTCTCTGTGGCTTCCATGCCAGTCTCGATGGCTTGTGTTTGCCCATCCATGCAGTCAACACCCTTTGTCCTCTATACGTCCAAGCAGTGCATGTGTGGTAGAGCCTGAGGCTCTGAGCCTCTCCTTCTCTTGCCTGTCTCCAAGGCATTTCTGAAATCTGCATGGCCCCTTGTGTGCAGCACTCAGAGGTGTGTGTGTGTGTGTGTGTGTGTGTGTGTGTGTGTGTGTGTGAGAGAGAGAGAGAGAGAGAGAGAGAGAGAGAGAGAGAGAGAGAGAGAGAGAAGCCTGGCAACATGTCATCTCTGCCACTTTCCCTAATCCTTGTCCCATTCTGGGTTAATTCCCTGTACATTTTCTTTTGGTCAACACTTGCTGAACAGCTCTGGGGAGGGTGTGGGTGAGCTGCGGCTGCAGCTGCTATCCGCTCAGCCCTGTTTTCTCCTGCCTGCCTTCTCAGCCTGCAGGCTCTCCCCCAGC